CAGTACATACTCCCCCCCCCCCCCCACACACACACACTACGGACACACGCACACACACACAACTCACCCACATCCTGTGCACTAGCCATCTCTGAAGACAGCGGCAGCCAGCCAATAGGACGTCGATGGTTGGCACCGAGTTGATAGTGTTGTAACAGACGATGTAACTGAGCTGGTGTCAGCGACTTGTGCTCGGCACGCAACTGTGACCATGATGTCTGTTCATGCCACAAACACAAACACACACACACACACACACAGACAGACACACACACACACACACACACACAGACACAGACACACACAGACACACAGACACAGACACACACACACACAGACACAGACACGACACACACACACACACAAACACAGACACACACAGACACACACACACACAGACACAGACACACACACACACACACACACACACACTACACACACACAGACACACACACACACACACACACACACACACACACACACACACAGACACACAGACACACACACACACACAAACACAGACACACACAGACACACACACACACAGACACAGACACACACACACACACACACACACACACTCACACACACACAGACACACACACACACACACACACACACACACACACACACAGACACACAGACACACACACACACACACGTGCACACACGGATGGGGACAGCCGCACACATATTAACACCATCGGAACTGCCAGGAAACACACACACAAACACACATGTGCACACACGGATAGGGAGAGTTGCTCAAAAATTAACACCATCACTTATCAGAACCGCAAAGACACACATACTCATGCTCGCGTGTACGCACACACGCAAGCGCACAAACACACATACACGCACACACGCGCACACACACACACACACACACACACACGTGCACACAGGCAAGGCAATACCTGAAGCAAGGCCTGCTTTGGCGATGCAAGCAGATCAGCTGCGGCTGACAGCTGTTGTAGATGACGAATAGCTTCTTGGTGACACCTTGCTGTGATGCCCATGTCTCCAGTATGTCTAGATTGGTGCGAATCTGAATACCCTTGTTCCAGCTAGCAGCAGAGGATTGATATTGACACACACGTGCACAGACATACACATATGACAAGACACAGGCACACAACATCAATATACAACAAAATGTGTGATGCACTGATCTTAGATTTGCAAAGCACTAGAAGTCTATTGAAAGCACCATTTCGTCCAAGCAAATAGTATGACAACACGATGTGTACGTTTGACATGACAATGTGTACAGATGACATCATGATGACATCATTATGACATAGTGCACACACCCAGCCTATAAGGAGTCTGAGGTGCCATGTAACACAAGTCCCCTGTGAGTTCTATTCAGCTCTATTACGAACAGCACGGCGTGGCAGAGAATGCAAATGCGAACACGGGAATGCTGGGTGTGTTTGTTTGTTTTTTAAACCCACCGGTAAAACCTGTCACCGGCCCTTCGTCCATCAGAGTGTTGAACAGCGACGCGTTGGTGAAGAAGAAGATATTGGACAAGAGCTGCAGAGTAATGTTTGGGTGAAGCTGACTCTGACCCAGTAGATCCAGTACTAACTATAGGTTACGGTAGCATAAGATACATACACACACACACACACACACACACACACACACACACACATACACACACACACACACATACACACACACACACACACACACACATACACACACACACACACACACACACACACAGAGACACACACATCGGATCAACTTCATGACATACTAGAACTAGCCATGCACAGACACAGGACATGTGATGAGACCGTGATGATATTGCAAGTGTCATTGACCATTCTACAAGTACAGTGTGCAGTGCATTGCCATCTTTGCTGTCATTGTCGCCATCATCATTGTCATTGTCGTCATCATTGGTGGCGACAACAGAAGTGATGGCATTGGCACTAGTACCACCGCCTCCGCCACCAACCACCACCACCAGCAGCAGCCGCACC